TGTCTTGAAAAATAGTATGTGTAGTTGCACTATCAATCAAACAAGTATATTGACAATCCATCGTGAATCTATAAGAAAACAAATATATTTTTAAAAAACTTGAATTTAAATTTAAAAGAGTAAACATAATTTAGTATTATAGAATTAACGATGCATAATAAGTTTTCAATTATTTTGCAAAAAATAAGAACATAATTTAAATTGAATTTTTAAAACGAAATGAAATATTAGAAAGTAAACTAATTTATATCTTTCATTACGCCACCCTCAATCAAATGGTCAATATTCTCATTTGGATCAACAAAGAAATCAGATACATCTAAATGAGTCACATTAATTGGACCATCATAATCAACAAAATTTGTCTCTACTTTTTCCTTTCCCTTGATTGATTTTTGGTAGGGATCCACAATGTGTTTTGCCGTACGACTGGTACGTGCCCAATGCCCTTTCATTCCACATCTAAAGCAACTTTCTTCGTACTCCTTTTTGAATGTGTTGTTCGATCACTTGATATTAAATATCAATTAGTCAATATCAACATGTTAGGTGTTTCCCTTTAGGGATAAACACTAATTTAAAATAATATGTTCTTCAACACATGTGCTATTTCGAGAGTACGTTGTATTTTATTATTACTTTTTCAAGAACAATATGTCAATATCCTTCTAGAATATTGAAAATTATAATTTATACTCTTCATGAGCAAGTAATATTTTTTTGAAATATTAATTATGATGTTGTGTTACTTAGGGAACAGCAACAAAATATTCTTAGAAAATATTTATGAAATTGCAATTTACAGTAAAGTTGTTAACAAATATAAATAATATAATATACATATATCCTATATATAGCAACTGGAATTGCAATTTATATTAATTGAATAGTTACAGCAGGGAATGAAGCATTATCATTCAACTAAAATTAAATACAATCGTGAATTACGTACAAGTAAAATTGGGTTAAATATCCATAAGATCGCGTCAATAACATACACTTGCACATGAAAATATTTATATAAAGATATTTAAGTTGAATACAATAATGTTGTGCTTTTACTAAAACAAAAAAAAGTATTGAAGTTGATTAATAAACAAATAAAACTTACTATTTACAACAAATATGAGTATTTTTAGGAAACATTATATTGGGTTTTATTTTACATATTAAAAAGTATTTTACATATATAATTCAGTGTATAGTATTTTATGAAATAGTTTATTTCTACCAGGTATATGCGATTTTTTTCCCAAAACTGAAACCATGCTATAATATATCATTATCATTAATTGGTCCATGACAAATTTTATTCAAAAAATAGGTTTTACATAAAAATATTTATTTTAATATATTAAATTATATTATTAAACAAAATACGTATAATAACTATGTACATTATCAAACTAATCCTAAATTTAAAGGCTAATTATCGTCATTACCGAATTTCAAAATCACAAAACATTCATCAGCTGATATATATTTTGCAACTAGATTCAATGTTTTTCTACTAATTCCCTAGATGAAGTTTTTTCCTTTAAATTCAAGTCACAATTTTCGCACGAAATCTAAATTTTCAAATACACATGTTTTGTATCACATTCTTAAATTGTAAATTCTAACTTGAAACTATAGAATACATTAGACGTGATATAAATGGACAAAAGAATGTCACGGATTTATAACGACAGTCACAGTCACACAACCTTATAAATCACAATCGCACAACATAACAGGTTATGGTTATATAAAAGTATTAAATGAAGCATACAAATTGTGAAGAGATATTCACTGCATTGCAAATTTAGAATTCCTGAATGCCCAAGAAATTCCTAATCGGCATTTTGTCAAACGTAGTAAAATTAGAATGTCACAAATACAAATAAATTTATTAGACGGACGAAACCTTTTAGATTATTTTTCCTAGAATATGTCTTTTTTAGAATATTAAGTTAGGATTTCTTGTTTTCCTTTAAATTTTAGAATTAGGATTTAATATTATTTGATTTTTATTATTAAATATATTAAATGAAATAATGTGAGAATAAATTTCTCCATATTTTGCCTAAATTTTCGATATTTTTTGTGAGTCAACGAGGTTCTGACGTCTTAATCATCATTACACGTATTCCATTGCATCAAAGTTCATGATTTGCATAAATCGTACGCAATCAAGTACTAGCGACCCATTGGAGTCTCGAGAGATTTTGTTTTTATTTCTTTAAATTTTAATAGAGAATTGAAGTCCCAAACGACCCGTTGGAGAATCTTAGTTATCATGAATTGGACTCGACAGTCACGTAAAACGATCAAAGCACAACGTATAGTCACAAAATTTAGGCCGCGCGCGTTCTTCGGTGGGTCTCAATTTAACCCTTAATCCTCTCAACATATAAATGAAACAACCGCAAATAAAAATAATTTTAGTTACTGTCTGGTCAAAGATGAGGCAAATGATTGACAGGCATAGTTCAATATGGACAAAAAGGAGACGCTGCTAAAGGCTAAATTCGCAATGATTAGGGTGGGACCGTGAATAATGTGAGACTCAATGGCCCGTTGTTTTGAACGCACTAGGGGCCGGAAAGGGTGACCATCTTAAGTGCATTGCATTTTTCTCGTTTTAGGAAGAAGTTAACACCCCCTATCCCATCTTAAAATTGTTTCCTCTAAATTAAGGCCGTTTGGCAAGAATTTGAATTATTTTGAACATATTTAGATAATTTTTTAAAAATATTTTATCTGATTAAAAGAATTTTTAAGGAAAATTGAATTTTTTAAAGAGCTCTCCGACAAGTAAAAATCTTGTCAAATGAAGTAATTTTATTATGTACAAAAAAATTACGTACATTGGTAATTGTTGTCATGTAGATTCTAATGTCGAGTAATTGGAATAGGCTAATACAATACGATATATCAAACGCACCATGTTTGACAATCATTAAAACAAAAACTTTCTTTTTTCAAACTCTTTTTCAATTATACATTCTCACAATATAAATATTCTGTGCGTAAACCCAAAATTTATTTCTACTTTTTGATCAAACATTCTTCAAAAATCACTTTCAAAATTCATTTTTCCTCAAAAAAAAGCTCATTTTAATAGTAGTCAAACATGGGCTTATGTTGTGTTAGTTGAACATTTGCAATTAATTTGAAAGAAGGAAATATGGCCCGGTTTCTTAAAACCAATTTTGAATCACACAATTTATGAGATCTACAATTTTTATCAANGGCTTATGTTGTGTTAGTTGAACATTTGCAATTAATTTGAAAGAAGGAAATATGGCCCGGTTTCTTAAAACCAATTTTGAATCACACAATCTATGAGATCTACAATTTTTATCAACTTTTCAATCAGACGTTTTATCAATTTTTATTTTGAGTTTTATCAAAACCAAACATGGGAATAGTGAGTGGATCTAGAATAAGTGGTTTAGGCATAGTTGTCTGAAAATGTTTTAGGCTCATGAAATTCTTGCAAGGCATGAGTTGACAGTTGAAAACAACAGCAATGCAGTGTAACTCGAGGTTTCTCCCAGTTATCACGTTAATCTCGCTACACACTGTCTTCTTCCCTATCCTCGCCCAACCACTACGTTTCTCTCTCTAAAAAACACACACACACTCACACTACACAAATTGTCCAGAAAAAAATTGACCCCTTTTAGATAAAGTTCAAAAATAAAGTGTTAAATGGCATTGTTTTGTTCTCTTTTTTGTGTATATTTATGAAATAGTTGATTTTAATCTTAAAAATATGTTTGCTCTATAACACGTGCATGATTCCATCTTTACAAAAATTGAAAATTTTGAATTTTGTGTCAGTTATATGCATAATTATTTTCTTTTATTTCTGAATTCGATCAGTGATTAAAAAATTTCAGGACATATTTTTTCTCTTAGACCGCAAACCTTGCATGGTGACACACATATAGTGAAAAAAAAAAAAATAAAAAAAAAATAGTGAAAAAAAAAAAAAAAAGAGCCTACATGACCAAAATTAGACAAATTTTGAGATGATGGGACTTTCTTATTTTTCATGAATTAAAAGGTTAAAGTGATCAAGAATGAACAATGTAAAAGCAAAAATAATCCCCCCCCCCCCTTCCCCCCGCGGCGCCCATCAACAAAAATGACAATTTCACGATATCATAGAATCAATGTTCGTAGCACCATTAATTTAAAAGTCGAAGTCAACAGACCTTCTAAGTTCTAACGATTCAATCATGACAAATTTATTTATTTATTTAAATTATTTTGTCAATACTGTTGAATGGCAAGCATCCTGAAGGAGGGACTCAGTGTCCAAGATTCACAAAAGCTTAACACTATTTTTGCAATGCGGAAGAATAGACCATATGCAATCACAGAATTACTGCTATCTTCATCTCTCTATTCATTCAAATGTAGTCTTTTTTTGCTTTGAAGCCACCACTTTTTCAGACACCACCACATCACAAGATACTGCAAATTAATTATTATGAAAAAATCCTAGCTAGGCAGACAGAAGCCTTGCCCAGCTACTGCTGTGTTACATTCATTATACACGGTGTCAGTGCTGATCAAAGTCTGAGGATCAGTTACCAGATAGAGAGAGCCCAGAGACAGTGATAAGAGCTTCTGGAGACTTAAACATATGCCATTAACTCTATTTAACAACGGTCAAAATCAATTCGCTGATCCCAAAGTGATTGAAGCAAAATGGATACAAAAGAAAGAATACTCACAAACTTTGTTCCCACAAAAGAAAAAAAAGGTGGTCTAATCAAATGCAAATAAAATATCGATAGATACTTCTACTGAAACGAAGTTCAATAAGAAATTAATCTTGAAAAGCTATTTTCCCTTTCTATATTTCTCCTTAATTGCACAACATAAGACAGAAGAACCAACTTATACAAAAGATAACATCTAGATTGAGCCAATAGAATTACCAAATAGAAACCATAAGATGCCTATACAGAGATAAATAAATTCTAGCTGAAGTTTTCTCAGTTCTATGGGAGTGAACTGTACTGATTCCAATTGCTCCATGATGCTTGAACTCCATTCCAGTTGCTGGTGTTTTCATTTGCACTGCCATTACCGTTGGGTGGGATTGGAGTAACTGGTGCATAAGAATTATCGAAGAACCACTCAGTTGATAGATTTGCACTTGTTCCCTCTTTTGCTGAATTGCCAATTCCAGAAGCTTCTTGTTTTGCAATTTCCAGGTTCTGAAACAAAAGGGCCTCTTGTTTATGATTCTGGGGTTCAAGATTTGCAGTAATTGAGACACAGTTTTCCTTCTGCTTCTCTTCAACAAAAAGCATAGCCATTCTTTTTTGCTGCAATTTCCTGTGCNGCAATTTCCAGTGCAAATCTTGGTTGATAGAGCTCAAGGACTCAATAGAAGTTGCTAGACTGTAGTGAACGTTCAAAGAACTGCCGCCCATTTCTTGAAGACTTGGAGTACTGGTTTCTCCTTGTTTGAGTGACGAACATAAAGGAAAATTGAACCCCATCATAGGAGAGCTTCCTGAAGGATCAAGACTGAAACAAGGGTTTGATGCAATTGCAGAAATAGAATTGCTTGACATATCCCCAAAAGAGGAAAACTGGTTAAAAAGACCAGTATTTGGATAGTCCAGCCTTGGGAAATTTAACCCTCCAAGCTGGAAATCCATGGCTGGTGATATACCTTGAAATAATTTCAATCCACCAATATCAGATGATCCAATGGAATCCCTCGAATCCCCAGAAATACTAGAATTGAAAGCCTTCATTTTCTTACTTTTCCGACAACCACCGCCAATCGGCACGTTGCGCAAGGCTCCTCCTCTAGTCCAGTACCTTCTACAAGTTTTGCAGAAATGCCTTGGCTGTGTCAGACTGTAATTGTTGTAGTAGCAGAACTTGGTGTTTGGTGAATCACATCTAGGGCACTTTAGAGCCGGTTCTTGGGGCTTTGCTGAGGTGGTTTTCCGGCCTGTCAATCCGCTGCTTTCATCTTTTCCGACGGACTTGGCCGCAATGGTATTATTATCTGGTGACATCCTTTGAGAACTAACCCTAATTCACAAGAATTTTGTAAAGAACTGTATTTATATAAGAGAGAAAACTAGACGGGGTTGTTCAGTTTCCTTTTGCAGAGGCAAAGACACAGAAAATTCATTAGTTTCATGCATGGAGTTGATAGAGATGAAAGGATGTTGATGGGTTCTTGTGATCTTCACCTAGAAGAAACAGCTTATAAGCTAAGTTTCAATGTCAGATATGATAGAATTAATAAATTGAGAGAGGACTAGGTATATATGTAACCCTGTATAAAGTGAGAAGGTGATATATCAGACAAAAAGAAATTACTTGAAAATAATAAATAAATGAAAAGGGAAGTTAAGGTAAGAAAAAGAAGAGATGAGACCCCCATGACACATGCCCTATGCTGTGCAATAAATTGAAGAAAAATTATGGTGCAAAATTCCAATTTATGACATCTTAGTATATTGGTACTTAACATTTCAATTTATGCAATTTGTTAATAAGCTCATGTTCGGTCCGGATTAAAATTTGATTTTAATCCAAGTCAAAATCAAACAATCAATATTAACCACATCTTTCATGGGTCTCACAACTTTTTAACCATACATTTCAAAAACTTTTATCACAATCTACTAAAAAGCAAATTTTAATCCCTACCAAACACCCTCTAAAATGATAACTTTTATCACAATCTACTAAAAAGCTAATTTAAATCCCTACCAAACTCCCTCTAATATGACAAGTGCAAGATGTGTGGGGCATTGTTGCGAAGGACTTTGCTACAAGTACAGGGATTCAAAATCCCTGTACTTACAGCATAGACACAACATTTGGAGGGAAATTTTTTTTTTATTCAATATTTTATACATGGGTCCACTCTATGTGAGTGGGAATTCAAAATTCTGGTAAAAGCCTGGTAAAATTCATCTGTACTTGAAGCATTTTTCTTGTTGCGAAAGTAAGGTAAGTGTATTTTACACACTTATCAAAGTTCTTAAAAATAGTTTAATGTTGATTATTTGAGTGAAATTCTACTTAATTTTTTTTAAATATTATTTTTCTAAGTAAAAGTTCCAACTTGGAAATGGCTTCAGCAAAGAGGGAAGATTTTAGGAGCTTAATTGAGGAAAAATGATGAAATTGCAGCTGAAAACCTTCACGTTTCTGAACATTGGAAGAGCTTTGGAAGTCAATTGAAGAATTTTGCGAAGAATGAGAACTAAAATTGAACTTTTAAAAAGTTGGGGGTCAAATTGAACTAGTAAAAAACTAGAAGGATGGATTTAATATGATCAAAGTTAGAGGAGTTGAATGGACAAACTTAGAAATTAACGCTCGCCCAGCCTTGCGTCCAACTATGGCCAAGCAGGGCTGGCGCGAGCATTACAGATTCTAATTCCCGCATGAGGAAGAAAAAGTAAAAGGTTCCGACAAGAATATAATCCTAAATTGCAAGAGCTTGGAGTTTGGGAGACCTCCATGGAAGTGCCTGGGGGAAAAGGTTAGGTGAGACCATTATTGTCAGAATCTGATTGGAATTTGAAAAGTCGATTTTTACGAAATAAGGGCACTTAATTCTGTGTTTCAAGACTATTGACGGACTCATATAAAATAGGGGAGTCTAATCTAGAGAAATCTCTCCTACATTCACAATTTATTCAATATTTGCAAACTAGAGGATTCTTATTAGGCAAAACACAAAAATTCTCTCATCATTGAAGAAGAAACCATCTATATTTTTCTTAGGCTCAAAGCAAGAGTAGAAGGAACATCATTCAAAATCTATTGAAGATTCAAGACTTAAAAAATTTATATTCCGTTATGCCTCGCCATCGAGGCTCCAAGTGGAGACCACGTCATGGTCCACGTGGAGATATGAGTCGCATCTGATAAAATCAACAAAGATTCAATTGGTCAAAATAAAGAAGTCAAAGAAGAAGCTGATATTCTTCGTTCCGAAGCTTCCTTTGCCAGAAGCCCTCGCTCCGATCCGAAACTCCCTTTAGCTTGCCCAGTATCAAAGTTTGAATTTCATTTTAACTTTCAATACTTATTTTTGATCTTTTTTTACATTAGTTCTTATTGTAAAGGAAGTTGTACTACCTTATTTACTGCTTTACTTTTCGTCATTTACTTTTGAAAAATGCGGTTCGCTAACAAGTTACTGAATAGTTATTAATTATCCATTTTTAATTTTGACCCTACGTGTGGAATTAATCAATCAAAAGTAACAAGTCACTTTTAATTATTTCTAGATGGTTAAACAAACAGTCCAATTATCTTAAATTGAATTGCCACAGTTTGCAATATGGAAAGCAATAAATAACACCAATATGATGATGGAGAAACCTAAAATGGGTAAAAACTCTGGGACCAAGCCAGTTACCTCCACTATAGACAATGTGGGTTACAGTTCTATTCCAAACTTGTTCCACTAACTGTTGTAAACCCTGCAACTCCAAGATCTGCTACGCATTCCAGCCTTGAGATCTGCTACCATAGATATTGTCTAGCCAACCTGCTAGATCTCCCGATTTACCTCCTGTAACTTTCAAGTTCTGCTGTACTTACAGACTCACAATCTTCAACCAAGATATGCTATAGCAGTCTCACGTTCTTCTGTACACGTCTCTTCCAGGTGGATACCCAAGAACCTCCTGTTCTTGTGCTATTTCAGTGCTTNTTTCCCTACAGGTGGTTGTATGATCTCAAGAATCAAAGGATAAAATCAATGTAAGAATATCTTGGATCTTTAAAGGATGATAGGAAGAAGTAATAAAATGAACAACCACACAAAATTCGTGCAAGACCCTCTGTATTTATAGTTGGAGGTGTATGAGTAGTATGGGCCATGTAAAACTCTCCAAAATCGCGAACTAAGGTTAGCCTCATAATACTGTCGCTTGAGCGAGGGGGACATGTCGCTCGAGCGAAGGGTCTGTCAGTCGAGCGACGCCTAGGTGAGAAGCGAGGGACAATAGTTTTGTTTCTGTCGCTCGAGCGATGGCCAATCGTGAAGCTAGCGAAATTTCGACGCCGCTTTTTCCTTGTTTCCAAACCCGAACTTGAACCCTAAACTACCTAACTCAACTATACAAAATTGCACTTCGCTCCTTGACTATTACACATGTTCAATTAAGTCCTATTTGTTCACAGAATTGTCAATTACAATTTTAAACCTAACAACTTTCATTGTAAAGGAAGTAGTACTTCCTCATTTACTGCTCTCATTATTTTCATTTAAACACGGTATTCCTACGCCACAAGTGATGACATACTAATAAATTTTCGGAGGTACCGCCCTCCTTTAACTAAAAAATAATAATTTCGATGTAGTATTCCTATCTAATTATGTATTCTTGCTATCCAATCATGACAAGCTAAATATTTTTAGGTTAGGATTAAATATGAAATATTGTTAACTTTTTGATTAATTAATTGCTAGATTTTAGTTTAATTCTTGTGATTGTTAGTCACTTAGTTATTTATTATTCTCTTTATTCCGTTTTGATGATTTCCCACCATTAGAACTTGTTTGTGATTTATATTGCTTTCGAAAGATTCAATATAAATTAGCACATGTAATAAACAACACTAAGTCCTATAGAAAATATTGATATATACTTAGTCCAATTTTTTTTTTATTATTTTCCAGTTTTGTCTTGTGATTTTATCTATTCACATCCATTATAGAGAAATAGTCGGATCATAGGTAAAAATTAAATTAAATTATCCTAAGAGATAAAGTTAACATATAAGAAATATTCATCGAGAGTGTGCCAATTCATGTTAACGGGTAGTGTATTTCATGATTTGATTAAACTCCAAAAATTTATTGCTTATTTCTGCTTGCTAGTTTTTAGTAAATAAGTAGATATGTTGAAGCAACTCAAAATCATTAACTTTTTTTTCTAATTAGAGTTAGTTTTATTTAAAGTAAAGCGCGTAGATGATAAAATCATCATTGGTTTGAACTCTACTCATCAGAATAGTATTTGCTAACGATATGTTCAATTGCATGATAAAATTGACAACAATAAACATAAATATAGTCAGTGTTCTAAAATGTGTGTATACTCGTGTTCGATATTTTTTCGAAACGCGTCGCATATGGGGCATGCACGTGATAATGCGGCCAATCTATCTCGTTGACCGCATATGCATACTTAAACGTCAAAATACACTTGTATTTGTGTTGAAAATTATGCCAAAATTAGCTTAGCAAAGTCCTGTCCATTTTTATAACTTGAAAAAAGTAAATTGAGCCATACAAACATCAAATTAACCTAAATCACCCAACTCATGAATTATATACAGCAATCTATAGAGTTTTGATGTTTTAAAAAATAAAAAATCATAACAAATTTTTCGTAAAGTTGCAAATTAAAGCTCGAGCCTCCTTATTTGAACTTTATCTAGTTTTACTAGCAAGTGATGCTAGTAATAAACAATTTTGAATTGTTAATGTTTGTGATGATGATAATGAAGTTAATAATAATATCCTACCATATATAAAAGAAAATGGAAATTCTCGAGTTGAAATAAAAGAGCTCAATGAAGAAGATTTTATATAAGATGATATGGATGAAGAAGAGTTTGAAATGGAATCCAATAAAAAGTTAGAAAATATAAGATTTTTTTAAATTGATATTCGTGTCTAATCTAATTGTAGAAATTGATTACAAAGTAATGTAGACTTGTAGAGCATTATGTTTTCGTTAAAAAAAAAAAATTGAAGAATATGTATAAAATTCAAGTAATTGTGATATTTATGATTTTGAGCAATACTTTTTTTTTTTTTTTAATTTAAAGAATATGTATAAAATTTAAAGAATGTATTATTTTATTTATTTATTAGTTTATAATATTAGAAATTGAAAATGTATAATTACTCATATGTTTTGTATAAGCATGCATATTCTTTTAATACTTGATACTCAATCGAGACACATTACAACGCATTAAGCATTTTACCACCTTGATATAGCTAATAGAAAGAAAAGAACAAATGAAAATAGAAAAATTTGCAGCCCTCCCGAGTCGTACCTCAACCACTCAGCATAGAAATGTTAAATGGGACGAACAACTCATAAGTTCGTGCCATTAACGAGCATAAAATGTGGAAAAATATTATAAAGCCCCTGTTGGTACACATTAAAATTTTCATTTTCATTCTTCTACTCATTTTCAACCACACATCTTTCAATAAAATAATAATTTCCTTTACATCAATAACTTTTCCTTCCTTTTCAACCACACATTTTCCATCAATCTACTATTTCAAAATATATTCTTTCAAAATAATGTGGATCAAACACACCCAAAGTATGATTCCTTCGCTTAAATTTTGTTTTAAAAAAAAAAATTACAGGTCCCTGTCGAAAATGTTGAAAGTGCATCCCAAACATATTATTTGGTAACCCCAGTCCCCAACTTATCACTTTTATAGCATTTGAACCCTTATAGATGATTTATCCTTTTTTTTTTTCAATTGAAAATCTCAATTAAAAAGACAACTTGAACTTAATTAAACAAAATAAGGGTGGGCCCCTACCCGCTAATGATTTTTCTTTTCTTTTCTTTTTATCTTCCTATTTTCTACTCCTTAATTTCCACATTGTTTAAGCTCTATAAAACGGTTTAATTTATCAATAGATAAAAATGAGTAGTGTATAATAGTTATAGATTTGTTGAATGCGTTGTTGAAAGTGAAGTTTGTTTAATGATAAATGATTTATAAAATTGTCAAATGGAGGCTTAATTATGTAAGATTAAATCTTCTTTTTAATAAAATAAGAATAAAAATTGAGTTTGTAGTCAAATAAAAAGGAGAAAATTCTCCATCCAAAATAACAGTTGAGAACCTACTTGCTATATTCCAAAAGGTTGGATACCTCAGCTACAATTTTGTCTACATTATAAAATCATAAATCAAATCTCTCGAAGCTATTGACTGACTCCAATTCTCCAAACCCCACTAAGATTTCATTCAGTGTACTTTTGAGTTGGCGTGGGTGGGGCATTCACCATTGATCGATGCTGATCACCATTCATCAAAGGGTAGAGGTGATGTGATAGAATGAAGGATTTTTGGAGGGCAGTTTTCAAAGAGTAGTACAGGAATGGTGTATATTGGAGAATTAATAGCTAGCAGCAGCGACTAGTTCAGACAAGAACAGAGCCCGACAACCGATGTGGGGTTCGCCAGGCCACTGCACCTTTGTCTCTTCCTTTCCCATGTAACGTCCCTTTTCATACTTTTAACCCTACAATTACAATTCTACCCCAGGGACGAGCTGCTATGCCAAGTCGATAAAAAACCTGGCACAGAAATGTGAGATGGGGTGGGTGTTTCAACATTTTTGGGGGGTTTTTTTAATGAGGTGGGTCCTCGGGACCCACCTCATGTGAGATAGCCTGTAAAAGGCCTGTTCGGGACCCACCTCATGTGAGATAGCCTGTAAAAGGCATGTGAGGGAAAGCCTGGTAGAGAGGAAAAATCTTTCTACCCCATTCCCAACGCGTATTGTTGTACACTAAGAGTGTACAAGTTTGACACTCTACTATCTGTTAAAATTTGAGTCTTATTTAGCCACTGTTTGATATACATTAAAATTCTCATTCTCATTATTCTACTCATTTTCAACAACACATTTTTCAATAAAATAATATTTTACATCACATCAATAACTTTTCATTCTTTTTCAATCACACATTTTTCATCAATCTACTATTCCAAAATACATTCTTCTAAAATAATGTGGCTCAAACGCACCCTAAATAAGGATGTTCCTAAAAAAATTCTTCTCGCTTTTCTACGATCTCAAATATNGTGACTTCTTTGGTGACTGTTCCGGCGATCACTCCGATGGCCGCTCCGACGACTGTTCCGGCAACCGCTTTGGCGATTTCAAAATTTCTAGAAAATTAAAAATTGAAAATCACATCCACAACCCATGGATCCACCTACCACCACCCCACCCCTTCCTCCACCTCCTAAAAAAATTAGCGAAAAAAAAAATTTGTATTCAGTGTGACTGTATGTGACTAATTGTGATCAAGTGTGTATTCAATGTGACTAACTGTGACCAAATTTGTGTTGAGTATGACTGTCTGTGATCAGGTCAATCTCAAGTCACAATCGGTCACAATCAACACAAAATCAGTCACAATCAAACGACTGAAAAGGCAACTAACCTTACCACCTACACAATCCCCACAACTCTAACTACTACTGAAATTCAAACAATTGGGCAAGCCGCCGCCCCTCCTCCACTACTAACACCCTCACCACTCCACTTATAGATCAAACCCAAACTCAAACACACAACCAGTCAAACACAAACACAACCAGACATGGAAGATATTGACAGCTCTATGTGACCTGAAGAAGAAGGTAGAACATTGTAGATTGCTTCAGTTTAATTTGAAGCAATTGATCAACGAGGAGAGAAAATTTTCAAACTGCATCTTAGACGTACCTTGGCTGAAAATTCTTCAGATTTCTTAGAAATGAACATGACTTTATACTTGAAAAACAGAAGAGCAGAATTTTGTTACATAATTTGCTCCAACATCTCATTCAATTTATACAAAGTTGTGAGACAACATATGAATCATAATGCATGGTCAATCTACATGAAATTTAAAATATGCTACCAATAATCAACTTCTGAATGCTATGCTAAAAATTGACAAGCAAAAAAGAGGGGGGAAAAACACAACCAATTTAAGTAACAAGGAAAATCTAACTCCCGAATTCACATACATTGGTAAAGAGACTTGAATCAATGTCCCCAAGCACAGTCCTCAACTAACATTAACGATCTCAAGATCCTTACTTGAAGGCAACACCCAATTTAGCAATCAGGCATTGGCATTTTCTTTGACTTCTTAGGTTTCATATCTGAAATTGCATTAGCAAAGGCCTCTACAATCCTTTGTTGCGACTCAAGTATCATCTCAGTCCTCTTCAACTCCATCTGCATTCGCATCTGCTCCACCTCGTGCGCCATATCCATCTTGACTTTTTCTATTCTCACAAACCACTCTCCTAATGTCTCTATTGCAGCCACCACCTCGTCCATCCCATTATCCCCTTTTTTATTCATAGCAATATCACCTATCCCTTTCCCAATCTCATCCCTACCCGTAAACCCATCTCTCGAAAATTTACCAAAAACCCCGTAACCACAAGTGCTAGAATTGATTTTAGGGTGATGGTTATTAGGGTTTTGACCACCCATCTCATTAAATTTATCATAAACCTTCGGTGCAGTATAACCTGCACTTGCCTTACCAGGAATTTTGATCCGAAATCCACTAGTCGTCCCATTACCCATAAGCCCTTGATTACTAAAATTACCTTTCTAATGACTGTAATCATTGTTGAGTGCATCGTTAATGCGTGTGATGCTATTCTCGTGATCCTCTTTTCCTTGCGGTTCGTCATCAGAGGAAGATGGGGAGCGGTTGTGGCCCTTCTCCATGGAGTGCATGCTCTGGAAGTGGACCCAGGATGAAGAGATCCGGCGAGGGCCATCATATGGAGTGGCACGCTGGATCTCTGAACAGTAACGCTTGCGGAGCTGTTCCATCTTGTGGCGGCATTGGACGTCGGCGATAATGGGGATAGAGGGAGAAGAGAGAGAAAAGGGGGGAGAGAGAAAAAGAAATGAGTTGGGAGTGTTCGGATTTAATGCCTGATTTTTGTAAAAATTTCTTAATCACCTGATTTTTTATAATTAAATCTTAAATTTCTGGGTTTAGGTAATTTTCTCTTTAAAATATTGTTAAAATTAATATATAAAAAGTTGTCGCTTCATAACAATGTTGAATTTGATGTCAAGTTTGACTTACATGTAACAAGACTGACAACATATATAATGGTTCCATAAACCCCATCCCCTAGTCGCTAGGGTACCTTAAAAATTTGGATATTGGTGTAAATGTTGTTAAAGGTCTCTAAGCATGGGTAAATGGTAATTTCATTATTATTTCACAATTCATTACTCTTGCATTTGATTGATGTTCCACTATATATATTATTGTATATCAATCACAATAGTTAGCGTCTTTTTTCTTTCAATATTGTAATCCGCATAAAAAACGCAATGAGATTAGCTAGTATTACACTATCACTATATATTAGTTATGTGGAGGTGAAAGTGTGCACTTTTGTAACAAAGATAACTTGAATAATTAATGTAGTGTCATTGTTTATAAATTTTTATCATTTAATGTATTTTTTATTTCGATCTTCGTCACGTTCACTTTCTGTGCAACAACGCTCGATAAGTGAGCTTACAACGCTCTTTCAAGTGTACACGGTAGTTGCTTTCAGCTACAAAAGAACCAAGAATTGGGGATGAAGAGGTGGGGCGAGAACGTTACCATTCTCACCCTATTGGGTATTTTTAGAAAGTGGAGCGGGAGCGGGGGCGGGGTGGTAGCAAGCCAGTGAATAAAAAAAAATCTCCATTAATTTTCCAATTTAAACATGAAAAAATGGCTGCTGATTAAACATGAAAATCAGCAGCCATTTTTGACTTGCTGTCTCACAGGTCGAACCCACTTGTTGTAATTAACGGTCATTTTTTTGCTAAAAATCTTGCTGAAAATGGTTCTCAAAGAGGGGCTAAGGAGTTCCTCACTTTTCTTTCATTCTAGTTTTAATGACTAGAGTAACGTTCTGTAACCCTACTAGGGTTGCAACCTCAATTTAGGAGGCATTAAACAATAAGATAAAAGAAGTGTAGACTTAAACGAGTCATTTAATTCCACTTATCCCAATCTAGAATTTTTGTTTTCTGAAACCCTACTGCAAGACTTCTATTTAAAGCTTCTGTTTTTTAAAAAACAAACATCAATTGATCTAAGCTCCAATATATTATTGTTTTAAATAAGGGGTTGTTAGACAAAGTTTTTAATAAAAAAATTAATAAATTTTGATAAGTTAATGCAATGCACGGTTAAGAATTGATAAACGTTGCGAGTACGAAAAAATGTGTCCTTAAATTTAATTGTTGACTTTGACCCAACATTTTAGAAATTTTTATGTTTTCCCAAATAAATACTAATTGTGCGTTTGATTTTCAATACTTTACATGAAAAATGCGTTTTTTCATCTAATTTCCTACTTTCCTACTGTTTGGTTTACAATTTTTTCCACGAAAAATATTTTCCTACTTTTGGTCATGTGACCATATTTTTCTTGGAAAATATTTTCTTTAGGGAGGGGTAATTTTTATTTTTCAGGTAATTCATCCTTGCTCTCTTTCTCTCTCGCATCTATCCCCTCTCACATATCTATCAACCAATATAAAACGGACAAGTATAATATTCTCGAGGTTGAAAACTAAATCGATCAAACACATTTAATTAATAATTTTTAGACAATTGAATTGTCTAGAATTTATTTTCCTTTCATGCAAATTTCATACTCGCAATCAAACACACCCTAGCTTATATTGTGAATTCCCCCTCCATTGCGGCTTCGAAGTTTGAACAAACAGAAAGACAGTACATACAATACTACAAAAATATTATTGCACTACAAACGGTTCAAAGTCCATGTCCTTGGTTTTAATAAACACACACAAATATTCAAATACATACGGTAATATGTACGATACGGCATTGATGGTTCTAAAAGTCGAGACGAGATAATAATAGAAATACATAATGAGATAGAATTTCGAACTTGTAATTCTCAAGATTTACCTCAGTAGAAATATATATTCATATGGATCAATATTAATTTTATCTTACTAAAATCATACATGAAATACAAAGAAAAAAAACCCGAAAAAAGATTGCCTTGAGAAACAAAGCGGAAATGCTATCACCTGAAATTAAACATGTTGTGCCGTCATTTTTGAGCAAACTGCAACTGCAACTGCTGGCTTCAGCGAGGGAATCTCGTGAGAAGGGTGGGTTGATTCTCGTGAGAGAGAACCCAAAACCGGAACATATGCAAACACAGTTATATCTCTTCGAAAACGTTATGTCTTCTCGATTGGAGGAGGAGGAAAATATGTTTAATTAGACGATAATATTCTCACAAATTATGTATTTTTTTTTTGTCAAGTTTAACATGTCAAGAAAAAATATTTAATCATACAAACCCTAGCTCGATCCAACTCAACAATTTTCCCGACATCAAATTGCTCATGAAAATTGAGCAAATTATATAATGTATTAGCGTAATTGTAAAATTTTGCAAGACTACAAAATTTCAAAATCGATCTTCCATTGTTTATGAACTGTCCGGAAAAGCAATGTTAGATAAATTAGTGCATAACTTATATTCCAATAATAAAAATACACATGCATGTAAATACGAATAAAGTAACGACTTACCGGAACCATGGTACGTGCACAATAATGAGCAAATCATGACTTACTCAAACATAGAAAATATAAAAATACGAAGAAGATGAAATGAAGCGAGGTATGCGAATGCAAATATTCTTAAAACGAATTTCACTCCCTGCACTAATACTAACACGATCAAATGGACGTCCATCTCTCAAGATAAAACGCTCCGTCCAAAACTAATATAGCACGCCATTAATTTTATCGGTTGAACTAAAGTATAGACGATATTCTTGTTGAATGAAATAGACACAAATTAAAAATTCGAACAAAATTTTATTTTTGAAAATATTTTGAACAGAATTTTATTTCAGTAAAATAAAAGGAATGAAATCTTTGAATAGAGGAGATAATTAGAAATCAATAATATTTTGAATTGATTTGGTGTAGGAAAAAAATGAAACTAAGACCCCATTTGATTGGCAGAATTTTTCATGGACCTAGGAAAATATTTTTCATTTTTCCTCACACGTGTGCATTTTCTCGGTTTTTGATGAAAATGTTTTCCCACATTTTTGGTGGGAAAATATTTTCCCGGCTGGCTGAAATTTTTTTTTTCTTTGCAATGGAAACAAATGTCATAACCAATGGTAAAAAAAAATTTCACTTTAATGGACAATTTTCAAGTAAAACAAAGTCAAATGCATACTAAACTTTGATAAAAAATGATTTTTTAGGAAACAATTTTATTTTTTTTGGCAATGGAAACAAATTTTATAACCAATTGTGGAAAAAATTATCACTTTAATGGACAATTTCCATGTAAAATAAAGACAAACGAATAGAAAATTTTAAAATTTTTTGGGTGAAAAATTATACCAATCAAACACATTTAATTAATATAATTCCCTGCAAAACAATTTCTAAGCAATTACTTTCCCTGGAAATCATTTTCTTTTCACCAATTTTCCACCCAAACAATTAAACGGACCCTAAATGTTTTTATTTATAGATTTTCAAGTGACTTGTTGAAATGTTGCATCTCTTACCCCATATCACACATATTTTCACATTAAACAGTGTAGTATGCACCTTTTCATTGAAATGTTGCATTTCTTAACATAGATCAAACATTTTCACATTATATGGTGTAGTATACATCTTTTCATTATACACCTTTTAAATAGTCACATTCATTCTAAGCAAGATAACTTTTTACAAAGAAGAGACACCTATTGAAGACATTCTAATTCACACTATAAATAATTCCAACGAGCAGTACACTTCGATAGGTATGAAATTTGGTGGTTTTGACTCCTTGATTTTACGGTGTAATATTATTGTTACCATAACAATAATAATAACCTTTAGGCAAGTTTCTACTACAGAAAACTCTATAAATTAAATTCATTGATCACCATATTCGTCAGGAACATAACGAACAGGTGGCGTGGAAAAATACCAGCACCGTTCTCAACTAAAAAAATTCGTTACGATGGCCATTTTAATTCGTTTTTCAAATTTAATTACAATTTTTTTATGAATGTAACATTACAGTTCATGAAATAAGCTCGATGTAACCTTACAATTATGCATACATTTTGAATTACTCGTCTAACCTTGCAATTATGTAACTTTACATTTTTGTAACCTTGATTGTTTGGGATATTGAAATTCTAGTAACTCACTTTATCAACTTGAATATTGAATTATTTGTGAGTTACATTAATTGTATTGTCCTCCTACACAATTGATGCTATATTTGCTAAGAATTACATTATGGAACTGTGGAGGCCTATGACAACAAGATAAAGTCACCGATAGAATAAACATAAACAATTTGTTATGGAAACTGCGAGTTATGATTATAACAGAGGATTTGTAAGATTACAGTGGTCGTATTTATATAATATGGCATTATGTTAGATGATTGTCTTTGTTTACAAACTAAGCTATTGATTGGGATTTGTTATTGGGTGATTTGACATTATTTGGGAGCATGTTCTTGTTTTTTAGCGAATAACAT